ATTAATATAATATATATTAAAATTAATTAATTATAGTAATTTATAAAGAAATTTGATGGTTGATTGCAATATTTGTTTTTGTACTTATAAAGAGGAAGAATGCTATACTCTTCCTAACTGTCTCCATAAATTTTGCAAAGCTTGCCTTACTGAGTAGCTTAAAACTAAAATAGAATCTTAACAAATAGACTTATCAGATTTTAAATGTCCCTAATGTGGTCGACTCTTTAATCCGGAGATTATCGAAAACTTTCTTCCACCTAACCTTTTTTAAAAGTATTGTGACTTTGCACTTTAATTTAATAAAATTATGGGATTAGAAGATCATGAATTACTCACTAATTGTTTAAATGAAAAATGTATTGAAAAATTTATCATTTGGAAAGATGCAGGTAAATAGAATAATATAAGTTTAGAGTATATGCAATGTCCTTCATGTAAAATGAAGTTTTGTAGAAAATGTTCATTAAAATATCATAAAGATGAAGGAATTACATGTGAATAGTAAAAAGAACTACATAAAGACGAATTTTATATTGAAATGAAGAAAAATTTAAAGATCTGTAGATGTCCAAAATGCAATAATATGTGTGAAAAGATTTCTGGATGCAATTTTATGTATTGCAGGTGCAAGGCAAATTTTTGCTTTCTTTGTGATGCTGAACTTACTGAAAAAGTAATATTCATTTTAATAACAGTACCATTCATCTCATTTTCAAAAAAATGATCCTTATAACAGTCCTTGCCGAGTTTGGTATAATGGAACTTGGGTAGATCCAGATAAAGTTCCAAAAGTGGAGCCTATTAAAGAAGATAAAATAGTTTAAGTTATTCCCATGGAATAAAAAGAAAACGATATTCCTTGCCCAAATTGTGGTAATAAATCAAAAGAAGTGAGTCAACTTGTATTCTTTGATAAAGTTATCTAATGTTAAAGTGTCAAATGTTAAAATTAAGCATTCTGCATTTCTTGTCAAAAAAAAGTGCCAATAGATGACATGATTACTCACTTTAATCAATTGTCTTTAGAGTGCAAATTTAAATGAAAATTAAAATTGACAAAATTTTATGTTAACATATTTTGCATTTTTTATTAATTCTATTTTACAAAAATTAATTGATTTAGTTTTAGATGTGGATTTAAAACTAAAAAAAATTATAAAAGGTAAATTGAGATTAAGTAAATTACATAATTCTTATAGAATTTGATGGTTTATTGCAATATTTGTTTTTGTACTTATAAAGAGGAAGAATGCTATACTCTTCCAAACTGTCTCCATAAATTTTGCAAAGCTTGCCTTATTGAATAGCTTAAAACTAAAATAGAATCTTAACAAATAGACTTATCAGATTTTAAATGTCCCTAATGTGGTCGACTCTTTAATCCGGAGATTATCGAAAACTTTCTTCCACCTAACCTTTTTTAAAAGTATTGTGACTTTGCACTTTAATTTAATAAAATTATGGGATTAGAAGATCATGAATTACTCACTAATTGTTTAAATGAAAAATGTATTGAAAAATTTATCATTTGGAAAGATGCAGGTAAATAGAATAATATAAGTTTAGAGTATATGCAATGTCCTTCGTGTAAAATGAAGTTTTGTAGAAAATGTTCACTAAAATATCATAAAGATGAAGGAATTACATGTGAATAGTAAAAAGAGTTATTACGAGATTCATTTTATAGAGAATTAAAAAATTATTTGACATTATGTAAATGTCCAAAATGTAATAATATGTGTGAAAAGATTTCTGGATGCAATTTTATGTATTGCAGGTGCAAGGCAAATTTTTGCTTTCTTTGTGATGCTGAACTAACTGAAGAAGTAATATTCATTTTGATAACAGTATCATTTCAAGCATTGGTAAAATGATGACCCATTTAAAAGTCCTTGCCGAGTTTGGTATAATGGAACTTGGGTAGATCCAGATAAAGTTCCAAAAGTGGAGCCTATTAAAGAAGATAAAATAGTTTAAGTTATTCCCATGGAATAAAAAGAAAACGATATTCCTTGCCCAAATTGTGGTAATAAATCAAAAGAAGTGAGTCAACTTGTATTCTTTGATAAAGTTATCTAATGTTAAAGTGTCAAATGTTAAAATTAAGCATTTTGCACTTTATGTCAAACATAACTGGAGATCGACGACTTATCAATTCACTTTAATCAAGAGACATTATTATGTAATCTTAATGAATATTGAGATCTATTGAAAGTTTTAGTTAAAATATTTTTCGATTAATGTTATTTTTCTATTACAAACAAATTAATTGATTTAGATGTATATGTAAAACTAAAAATATTCTAAAAGGTAAATTAAGATTAAATAATTTCACATATTTCTTATAGAATTTGATGGTTGATTGCAATATTTGTTTTTGTACTTATAAAGAGGAAGAATGCTATACTCTTCCTAACTGTCTCCATAAATTTTGCAAAGCTTGCCTTACTGAGTAGCTTAAAACTAAAATAGAATCTTAACAAATAGACTTATCAGATTTTAAATGTCCCTAATGTGGTCGACTCTTTAATCCGGAGATTATCGAAAACTTTCTTCCACCTAACCTTTTTTAAAAGTATTGTGACTTTGCACTTTAATTTAATAAAATTATGGGATTAGAAGATCATGAATTACTCACTAATTGTTTAAATGAAAAATGTATTGAAAAATTTATCATTTGGAAAGATGCAGGTAAATAGAATAATATAAGTTTAGAGTATATGCAATGTCCTTCGTGTAAAATGAAGTTTTGTAGAAAATGTTCATTAAAATATCATAAAGATGAAGGAATTACATGTGAATAGTAAAAAGAACTACATAAAGACTCATTTTATATTGAAATGAAGAAAAATTTATAGATATGTAAATGTCCAAAATGCAATAATATGTGTGAAAAGATTTCTGGATGCAATTTTATGTATTGCAGGTGCAAGGCAAATTTTTGCTTTCTTTGTGATGCTGAACTAACTGAAGAAGTAATATTCATTTTGATAACAGTATCATTTCAAGCATTGGTAAAATGATGACCCATTTAAAAGTCCTTGCCGAGTTTGGTATAATGGAACTTGGGTAGATCCAGATAAAGTTCCAAAAGTTGAGCCTATTAAAGAAGTTAAAATTGTTTAAGTTATTCCCATGGAAGAAAAAGAAAACAAAATTCCTTGCCCAAATTGTGGTAATAAATCAAAAGCAGTGAGTCAACTTGTATTCTTTGATAAAGTTATCTAATGTTAAAGTGTCAAATGTTAAAATTAAGCATTCTGCATTTCTTGTCAAAAAAAAGTGCTGGTTTAAGACATAATAAGTCACTTTAATTAATAGTCACTAGAATGCAAATTTAAATGAATAGAATTTTATCTTTAAATATATTTGCATAAATAATTTAATTTATAATAATTCTAAAATAATCTTTATCATAATTTTAACAAAACCTAAAATAAATGAAACATATATGAATTAAAACTAAAAGAAGAATTTTGTTATCATAAAGGCATCATAAAATATCTACTAACTAAAGTAACCAAATCTATTTAATCCAAATGTATAATTTACTTAAGTTATGAACTTCATGGGAGAAACAATAGTATTCATTAAAATGTTAAAAGAAAACTAATCTAACATCATATATGATTAATATATTATCAAATAGTTTTTGATAAGAATTTTAGTTAATTCAAAAATAAAATTATTTATTTAGATTATTTAATTGTAAGCATTATCTACAAATTTATGAATTCAACAAATAGATATTTCATTCTATGTAATTTATATAATTATTTCCTTTTAAATACTGATCAATATCTATTATATGTAGATTATCATCCATTCTTTTCATGTCTCTTAAATTTGATTACTCATTTTTTGCACTTATGAAATTACAATTCATAATTTCACTCTCAAGACGTATGCTATGGAATTCTTCATGATTTTCATCATTTTTATAAATCGCCTCCTTTTTATCATTCAAAATTATGGTTGATCCTTAAGTTTTAAATGAGACATCAATAAAAAGTGAAAGAGTTGCTTTATCTGTAACAAAAGGTCTTTTTCTCCATACACATAGAAAATCATGTCCGTTGATATTTTAGTTGAAATCTAAATTTAAATAGCATTTAATTTACGCCTGATTTCTAATGGTTTATTTCTCTATCTTCCTAAATGAACTCCTACACGAAAAATATTTTCAACGTTGTAAACTTAAAAATCAAAGCATTTAATATCATATTTTAGAGTATGTTTATGGTTCTTAAATCAATTAAATAGCGTGTGTTAATACCTCATTAATTCTCTATAAATTTGCGACATTAAAGAATGCTCTACAATTCTTTCCAATCTCAAAGGTTACAAGTCATTGATTTTTTGAAAGTATTCAGTGGTAAGTTCTTAAAGTTTCTCTTCATTAATAATTCTTCTCCAATCAGTGAACCCATTTAATTATCCATCCTTTGGTTCATGAGGAAATCTAAGATGAAAACAATAGTCATACCCTCCAAATTTCCAAGGAAATTGAAGATTGCTTAATTCTATGGTCTCTTTAATATATTCTCTCGTTTTAGCCTTGAATACTCTTAGCATATAATTTAAAAATTAAAAATAAAAATGAAACTCACTCATACTGCGAAGTTAATATTTTGAGATGCTTATCTCTCCTTATTATTTTGTATTAACTATTAAATTCTTTCGAAGCATTCACTTAATTCTATTTAACTTAATCATATTTCTTTTCTTTAATCTTTAAAGTATTATAATCAAATGAATATTATCTTAGATGAGAATAAATTGCATCTGTGACTATTTAAACTTTTTATTTTTATTCACTTTCCTTTTATCTTGTACTTTTAACCAATTATTCAAATGTCAAAGGATTGTTTTATACATGGTAATTATGAAAATATTGCAAATCTGTTTATTGGAAAACTATTTATGATTAAATCAAATATACCATGAAAGAATTAAGACTTAGATATAAACAATAAAAAGCAATCTGTTTTCGCGTCTATAGTTTCATTTCTTTTTCTATCTGAATCAAATTCTGAATCCAATATATCATAATAACCAACTAATGATCCTGCTTTATATTCTATATTAAAGGATAAAGTTCTCGTGATGGTTTAACTCATCCATTTTTTTTAATTCTAAAGATAAACAAAAATTTACTATTGGCCATCTATTTTAGTCTTCTAAATCCATGACAACGGTCTTTGCTAGATTACCATGTTTAACAATATAAAGATGATCAACTAAATCACCAGCACTATATAAGTTCTCATTAGGAGTTAAATATTTGCCTTAAAGAGCATTGCAAAACTTTTTTAGTTTCTCCTCAGAAAAATGGGCAAATAATTATAGACTTCTAATAAATTGTTCCTATTTTACACTTTCTGCCTTCATAATATTATTAAGGATTGTAACATAATCAATTCGATTTAAGATTAATAAATGAGTTGAACCAAGTGATTTCAAAGTAGCATTTCTAGGTTAATCATTGTCTAAAGCATTTCTACCTATAATATTTTTGGGCCCTAATTTTTTATTTTTCCCTACTACTTCAACAAATCCATCAAAAATTACATACATACAATCACCTTTATCACCTTTATTACATATTATTTCATTCTCTTCATAAGATTTTGCAAATAATCTACCAGATATCTGCTTCAACATTTACATTGGCATCAATCGAAAAAAATCTAGTTTCACTAGATAATTAGCAACAATTTCTTTCAACTCATCTGATCTCTTGAAAGGACTTTTATAATTTAAATCCTTACTCTTATTCACAGATTGAAAAGACTTTAAGGTGATAATCGAAATATTTAGATTTACGAAGCTTTATAAAATCTGTCCTTCCTTTTAACCAATTTGGGAACTCATACTTATCCAATTAAGCTGACTAACACACTACAGGTGTAACTGTATCAATGTCATAAAAATTCATAACTGTAGATGTTTTTGGTTTTTTCACATTGAAAATTTTTCTGAATAATTATAGTTTGGCTTCTTTTGAAGGAGAAAATGGTTTGTAGGTATTTAAGTCTTATTTAGGAGTAGAGAGTTAAGTAGTTCTAAAAGTTGAATTGGTAAGAGGTTTTTTGGATTCGAGACTAACAGATCGTCTTTGGTTCATCATAATATTAAATTTTTATTTTAAATATAGACAAAAAGTATATTATAATTCTTAATATTGATTATTACAAGTCATAGTTATTTGTAGTTTCATATTCTTATAAAACATATTTTATATGANTTTTTATTTTTATTCACTTTCCTTTTATCTTGTACTTTTAACCAATTATTCAAATGTCAAAGGATTGTTTTATACATGGTAATTATGAAAATATTGCAAATCTGTTTATTGGAAAACTATTTATGATTAAATCAAATATACCATGAAAGAATTAAGACTTAGATATAAACAATAAAAAGCAATCTGTTTTCGCGTCTATAGTTTCATTTCTTTTTCTATCTGAATCAAATTCTGAATCCAATATATCATAATAACCAACTAATGATCCTGCTTTATATTCTATATTAAAGGATAAAGTTCTCGTGATGGTTTAACTCATCCATTTTTTTTAATTCTAAAGATAAACAAAAATTTACTATTGGCCATCTATTTTAGTCTTCTAAATCCATGACAACGGTCTTTGCTAGATTACCATGTTTAACAATATAAAGATGATCAACTAAATCACCAGCACTATATAAGTTCTCATTAGGAGTTAAATATTTGCCTTAAAGAGCATTGCAAAACTTTTTTAGTTTCTCCTCAGAAAAATGGGCAAATAATTATAGACTTCTAATAAATTGTTCCTATTTTACACTTTCTGCCTTCATAATATTATTAAGGATTGTAACATAATCAATTCGATTTAAGATTAATAAATGAGTTGAACCAAGTGATTTCAAAGTAGCATTTCTAGGTTAATCATTGTCTAAAGCATTTCTACCTATAATATTTTTGGGCCCTAATTTTTTATTTTTCCCTACTACTTCAACAAATCCATCAAAAATTACATACATACAATCACCTTTATCACCTTTATTACATATTATTTCATTCTCTTCATAAGATTTTGCAAATAATCTACCAGATATCTGCTTCAACATTTACATTGGCATCAATCGAAAAAAATCTAGTTTCACTAGATAATTAGCAACAATTTCTTTCAACTCATCTGATCTCTTGAAAGGACTTTTATAATTTAAATCCTTACTCTTATTCACAGATTGAAAAGACTTTAAGGTGATAATCGAAATATTTAGATTTACGAAGCTTTATAAAATCTGTCCTTCCTTTTAACCAATTTGGGAACTCATACTTATCCAATTAAGCTGACTAACACACTACAGGTGTAACTGTATCAATGTCATAAAAATTCATAACTGTAGATGTTTTTGGTTTTTTCACATTGAAAATTTTTCTGAATAATTATAGTTTGGCTTCTTTTGAAGGAGAAAATGGTTTGTAGGTATTTAAGTCTTATTTAGGAGTAGAGAGTTAAGTAGTTCTAAAAGTTGAATTGGTAAGAGGTTTTTTGGATTCGAGACTAACAGATCGTCTTTGGTTCATCATAATATTAAATTTTTATTTTAAATATAGACAAAAAGTATATTATAATTCTTAATATTGATTATTACAAGTCATAGTTATTTGTAGTTTCATATTCTTATAAAACATATTTTATATGAGAATGTTTGCTGATAAAAGATTAAATATATTTTAAGTAATAAATAATAAATATACAACAGAAAACCATAATCTTAATTGCTAGATCATAAAATTAATAAAGAAATTTTTATTAAACTCTATATTTAAATTTCTAATAGAAATGAACTATTAAAATACTTAATTCATTTTCATCATTATAAAAACAAAAGTATTTAAGGATATAAATTTTTGATAAGAACATTTTTATATTTCTATCAAACAGTTATTTAAGAGAAGTTGAATAATTTAATAAATGGGGGATGAAATCAAAATGAATTTAATTTTATATAGTCTAATGTTAAATAATTTATCTTAAGTTAATTGGGGCATATTTAATAATAAGAATCTACATTGAAAATAAGAAAACTATAAGATAGAATATTTCATAATAAATATTATTCTCTTGAATGTTTTAACCATTAGTGTTAATCTATATATTCTCATAATTAAATTACGTTAAAAAATGAATACAGTTTGCCAACAGAAGACTGCCACTCCTTGTAGGTTCGAAACTACACAATCGTATCTACTTGATTAATCACCTAAAATATAATATAGAAGAGTAAATTCTCCAGGTTTACCTGATTGCTCTTTTAGAAGGAGTCACAAATCATCAGTTGATAAGCGAAATTACATGACTTTAGGATAAATGGATATCTAATAATTATTGAAACCTACAAGATCAGTTGAAGAAAGTCCTGAACAAAAGTTAAAACCTTATTATGTGAAAGGAGAGGACATTCTCGATCATCATTAGCATTCATTCAATCCATAATAATATATGAGTGTAAAAGAGGATAAAGAAATATAAGTAGAAGAAGAACCTTTTGAATCTCCACCAAAAATGGAAATTTTTTCGAAACCTTAAATAAGAAAGCAAATGAAAATGGTTGATAAAATTGAAAGTGATAAGGTGAGTGTTGAGATATTCATGTCTGAATAAGATGAGAATTCACTTATTTTTACAGGTATAACCAAAAGAATATTACCATCTCCTGAAGAAAACAAATAAATCTTAATGCAGAATTTACAATAATTATTTACATCAATAGACAAAAATGCTAACTAAAATAAATTCTAAAATTATATAAAGATGGAATCATTAGAATAATCAATTTTCCATCAGCATTTAAATAAATCAACTTAACAAGATTTTCTATCTATTTCTTCTGCACAATCTTTTTAATAATAAAAATGCTCTTCTTAAACTAATTTCAGAAGAAATTCAGCAATTGTACCTAAATAACAATCAAAATGGAATAATTCAACCAAAGCTGATAAATTTAAAAATAATTGTTTCTCCAATAAATAATCAAAAAGTCCATTTTTAAAAGTCTAAAATCAAAAGGTTTCCATTAATAAACCAAAATTGTAGCAAATTAATCAAAATATCTCTTCTCCTTAAAAAGTGCCAACCCAAAAAAAATAACAACTAACTTAATAGAATAGATCAACTGTATAGAAAGTAAGATCTTTTCATATAACTCCTGAAAAAATCAATGATTGCATTTATGACGAAAGATTTTATAAATGAAATTATTATATATATATATGTATAAACATTAATACTTCACTTTATTTAAATAGTTCCTAAACCGCAGAGATTTATCACTGTTTTTATCTGAAAAAATCGAATATTTGTAACATCAAAATTCATAAATTCATTTGATAAGCCATTAATTTAATATCATGATGTAATTTTCTCATTTTATTAATCAACCTTTTTGTATCGCCATTTAAACTATTCGCACAATCTCCTCCAATATAATTAGCCCATTTTCTAGTATATGTTTGATGACTAAATGATGAAATCTATACCTCCTTCATGGATTTAAATGAACTTTTTTATTTTCCCCTCTTAATTTTAAGAACTCTCTTTAAAAATATTATTATGAAATATATTGTGGTTGGCTATTTATTTTAATATCTGCTCTTCATCAATATACGATCTAAATACAGACTTATTCGCTGACAAAGCTTTCAATTTTATTTTATTTNAAATATAGACAAAAAGTATATTATAATTCTTAATATTGATTATTACAAGTCATAGTTATTTGTAGTTTCATATTCTTATAAAACATATTTTATATGAGAATGTTTGCTGATAAAAGATTAAATATATTTTAAGTAATAAATAATAAATATACAACAGAAAACCATAATCTTAATTGCTAGATCATAAAATTAATAAAGAAATTTTTATTAAACTCTATATTTAAATTTCTAATAGAAATGAACTATTAAAATACTTAATTCATTTTCATCATTATAAAAACAAAAGTATTTAAGGATATAAATTTTTGATAAGAACATTTTTATATTTCTATCAAACAGTTATTTAAGAGAAGTTGAATAATTTAATAAATGGGGGATGAAATCAAAATGAATTTAATTTTATATAGTCTAATGTTAAATAATTTATCTTAAGTTAATTGGGGCATATTTAATAATAAGAATCTACATTGAAAATAAGAAAACTATAAGATAGAATATTTCATAATAAATATTATTCTCTTGAATGTTTTAACCATTAGTGTTAATCTATATATTCTCATAATTAAATTACGTTAAAAAATGAATACAGTTTGCCAACAGAAGACTGCCACTCCTTGTAGGTTCGAAACTACACAATCGTATCTACTTGATTAATCACCTAAAATATAATATAGAAGAGTAAATTCTCCAGGTTTACCTGATTGCTCTTTTAGAAGGAGTCACAAATCATCAGTTGATAAGCGAAATTACATGACTTTAGGATAAATGGATATCTAATAATTATTGAAACCTACAAGATCAGTTGAAGAAAGTCCTGAACAAAAGTTAAAACCTTATTATGTGAAAGGAGAGGACATTCTCGATCATCATTAGCATTCATTCAATCCATAATAATATATGAGTGTAAAAGAGGATAAAGAAATATAAGTAGAAGAAGAACCTTTTGAATCTCCACCAAAAATGGAAATTTTTTCGAAACCTTAAATAAGAAAGCAAATGAAAATGGTTGATAAAATTGAAAGTGATAAGGTGAGTGTTGAGATATTCATGTCTGAATAAGATGAGAATTCACTTATTTTTACAGGTATAACCAAAAGAATATTACCATCTCCTGAAGAAAACAAATAAATCTTAATGCAGAATTTACAATAATTATTTACATCAATAGACAAAAATGCTAACTAAAATAAATTCTAAAATTATATAAAGATGGAATCATTAGAATAATCAATTTTCCATCAGCATTTAAATAAATCAACTTAACAAGATTTTCTATCTATTTCTTCTGCACAATCTTTTTAATAATAAAAATGCTCTTCTTAAACTAATTTCAGAAGAAATTCAGCAATTGTACCTAAATAACAATCAAAATGGAATAATTCAACCAAAGCTGATAAATTTAAAAATAATTGTTTCTCCAATAAATAATCAAAAAGTCCATTTTTAAAAGTCTAAAATCAAAAGGTTTCCATTAATAAACCAAAATTGTAGCAAATTAATCAAAATATCTCTTCTCCTTAAAAAGTGCCAACCCAAAAAAAATAACAACTAACTTAATAGAATAGATCAACTGTATAGAAAGTAAGATCTTTTCATATAACTCCTGAAAAAATCAATGATTGCATTTATGACGAAAGATTTTATAAATGAAATTATTATATATATATATGTATAAACATTAATACTTCACTTTATTTAAATAGTTCCTAAACCGCAGAGATTTATCACTGTTTTTATCTGAAAAAATCGAATATTTGTAACATCAAAATTCATAAATTCATTTGATAAGCCATTAATTTAATATCATGATGTAATTTTCTCATTTTATTAATCAACCTTTTTGTATCGCCATTTAAACTATTCGCACAATCTCCTCCAATATAATTAGCCCATTTTCTAGTATATGTTTGATGACTAAATGATGAAATCTATACCTCCTTCATGGATTTAAATGAACTTTTTTATTTTCCCCTCTTAATTTTAAGAACTCTCTTTAAAAATATTATTATGAAATATATTGTGGTTGGCTATTTATTTTAATATCTGCTCTTCATCAATATACGATCTAAATACAGACTTATTCGCTGACAAAGCTTTCAATTTTATTTTATTTTACCTGTACTTCAAAAAATAGATGGAGATTATGTCGATTTTTTATATAAATTTTCTTATATCAGATCTTTTAAATTATTCTTGCTAAATTAATGTTCCTCTTTCAATTTCGTTGTTTATTTAATTTATTTAAACTAAAGTTATGTAAGCTTGAATACATAAGGAATATATGTTTTGTTGTGATATTAAATTCTAATTATTGAGTATTTAATAAAGTTTCTTCAAAATTGGAACCTTGTTTTAAATCCTCCATAAAATTTAGATGAATTGTACAGAAGGTCGTTATTTTTTAAGTTAAATTTACCTTGCCTTATCAATATTTGTTATGAAAAAGGCGCTACCCATATATTTGATCTATAAACTGAATATACTTGACCCCATTCTTTATGGGTATTTTTTTTTTNTATATAAAGATGGAATCATTAGAATAATCAATTTTCCATCAGCATTTAAATAAATCAACTTAACAAGATTTTCTATCTATTTCTTCTGCACAATCTTTTTAATAATAAAAATGCTCTTCTTAAACTAATTTCAGAAGAAATTCAGCAATTGTACCTAAATAACAATCAAAATGGAATAATTCAACCAAAGCTGATAAATTTAAAAATAATTGTTTCTCCAATAAATAATCAAAAAGTCCATTTTTAAAAGTCTAAAATCAAAAGGTTTCCATTAATAAACCAAAATTGTAGCAAATTAATCAAAATATCTCTTCTCCTTAAAAAGTGCCAACCCAAAAAAAATAACAACTAACTTAATAGAATAGATCAACTGTATAGAAAGTAAGATCTTTTCATATAACTCCTGAAAAAATCAATGATTGCATTTATGACGAAAGATTTTATAAATGAAATTATTATATATATATATGTATAAACATTAATACTTCACTTTATTTAAATAGTTCCTAAACCGCAGAGATTTATCACTGTTTTTATCTGAAAAAATCGAATATTTGTAACATCAAAATTCATAAATTCATTTGATAAGCCATTAATTTAATATCATGATGTAATTTTCTCATTTTATTAATCAACCTTTTTGTATCGCCATTTAAACTATTCGCACAATCTCCTCCAATATAATTAGCCCATTTTCTAGTATATGTTTGATGACTAAATGATGAAATCTATACCTCCTTCATGGATTTAAATGAACTTTTTTATTTTCCCCTCTTAATTTTAAGAACTCTCTTTAAAAATATTATTATGAAATATATTGTGGTTGGCTATTTATTTTAATATCTGCTCTTCATCAATATACGATCTAAATACAGACTTATTCGCTGACAAAGCTTTCAATTTTATTTTATTTTACCTGTACTTCAAAAAATAGATGGAGATTATGTCGATTTTTTATATAAATTTTCTTATATCAGATCTTTTAAATTATTCTTGCTAAATTAATGTTCCTCTTTCAATTTCGTTGTTTATTTAATTTATTTAAACTAAAGTTATGTAAGCTTGAATACATAAGGAATATATGTTTTGTTGTGATATTAAATTCTAATTATTGAGTATTTAATAAAGTTTCTTCAAAATTGGAACCTTGTTTTAAATCCTCCATAAAATTTAGATGAATTGTACAGAAGGTCGTTATTTTTTAAGTTAAATTTACCTTGCCTTATCAATATTTGTTATGAAAAAGGCGCTACCCATATATTTGATCTATAAACTGAATATACTTGACCCCATTCTTTATGGGTATTTTTTTTTTTGCTTAAACTTTTTATAATATCCAATAAAATTTTTGAGTTATTTGGTAAATTCTCTTCTTTAATTATAAAATGAATGCAATATTATCCAAAGTCTTCTTATACATATTCAATCTGTAATTAGTTGACATCATTAGTATGACCATCTAATTTGGCTTTTTATTATCCTGTTTTGACATCCCATAGACGGATAGACTTATCTTCACTACCAGAAGCTAATGTATTTCCATCATAATAGATTATTATTCATATTGTAATTGTAGTTCATATTAAAAAATTTTAGAAATTACAATCCTTTTTATTCCAAAAGTTGAAGAAAAAGATGGATAACAATATGATTAATGAATTATACACTCTGTTCCAATAAGGGATAATGAAATTAATTTTCTTCAAATTGCTTCTATGTTTCATCTCATTAAATTATCCAATCAACAACATTTTGTTCTTAACTATTGAAATGTTTCATAATCAGACTCTTTTATAATGAATATTTAGCATCAATCATGCCTTCTGAATGTTACTTCACTCTTCATCCAAATAATTAAATAATTAAAAATTCTAAAGGCAAATCTAGATTAGTAATTTTACATAGTGAATTTCCTATTTTGATTAAAGTAAATTGATATTGGTTTTCATCTATTCTTGAATCAAATTGATTTTAAGAAAATCATAACATAAAAATTGAAAATTTTCTTTGCATTATTATAAATTAAAATTTCCAACAGCATAAAACATGAATATGAATTCTGAATAAACTAAATAGTTGTAAGAGTGGAAATTAAAATACATAAAGTTGAATCCAATATTGCTTATTTTAATGGGTATGATTAATTAAACTAATTCAGGATTGGTATTAATTGCATTTGGAATTGTATCACAAACAGTTGATATAGAATATGAATATATATCAACTAGATATGATGAAATTTGTGCTTAGAAGAATTCCTGTATTGTAAATTACATACTTAATTATTGTAGATCAACATTGATGTGCCATCTAAAATGAAATCTCCTGTATTTTTTTCATACGAAGTTTCATCTTTCTTTTAAAACACAGATAAATACTTTAATAGCATCCCATATGATTAATTGTATGGAGACTCAGATTTTGATACTTCAATTTGTGATCAATATAAAACTAATCAAGAAATGGGAAAAACTTTGAGTGTTACTGGAAAAACTTTAGCATAAGATGAAATAGCTATACCATGTGGTATTGCTGCATATTCATATATGAATGGTAATGATGAAAGTTAAATTATTTTTAAGATGAATTTTCATTGATTAAAGATGGTAAACAAATTCCAATTACTGATAAAGGTATTGCATGGGAATCCGATAGAGAAAAATTTACAAATATAAATTTAGATAAATAATGGATAGACATGGAATCAGGTGATTATTTTCATTTAAATTAGAAAGATTTATAAATTGGATGAGACCATCTCCTTTAAGTAGATTTAGGAAATTATGGGGAAGAATAGATTAAGATTTAGAATCTGGAAAATATACAGTTAACATTCAGATTAGTAAATAATTAAAAATATATACAATATTAGAAACCAATGATGCCTTTACAGAAACTAAGAAATATGTTCTTCTACATAATAATGGATAATTCTCAGATCCAATTTTAGTGATAACATTACCATGTCTCTGTATTGGCCCATTTTTAATTATTTTTGGGCTAATAAATTTGATTTATTGGGGGAAAAAATAAAATTTGATCAAAAAATACAGAATTTATTGATTTCCTTACTTATTCCCATAATATAAGTTCTTATTAATATTAATAAATTAATATATAAAAAAGAATAATTATTTATACCTTCTTTGATCAAAGATTAAATTAGATTAAATTCCATTTTAATCGCAACTAGAAGGAAATAACAAAAAGCATTCAAGGTTTGATCCCTAATGTATTCTTAAAAATGCATTAGGTTCATGACCTTGGAACATTAACAATATAGTATATTTTTTAATTCAAATAAAATCAACATACAAATCAATTTTTAAATAAGGTTATGATAGGTTTTGTTTATTTTAATCATCTGTAAATTTAAAAGACTTCCTCCTAAACACATTTATTAAGAGTCTTAAAATTTTAATTATGCATTCAAATAAATTTTGGTATGTTATTTTTTTCAATAAAGAATTTAATATATATTTGTTATAATATATATGTAGATGCAATTTAAAAGATAATTGTATTCTTATTAAACTAAGATTGAAAAATAACATTTCTATATAATTGAGACATATATTATTTAATAAATTGATAAAAGGGAGACAGACGTCTTAATATACAATGAAATAGACATGCTAGGTACCTACATTATGATGCCAATTCAATTAGATGTGTTACTTTAGTATTTATAAGATTGAGATATTTATATTTTCAATATATATATATATATATATATTAAACTCTTAAATATTTTAACATTCATCCATTTTACCCATTAAAGTCTTTATCCATCATAGTTTGCTCAATACTTACTTAATTTATTATTCAATATTTCCATATCAACTATGGTGAATATTTAAATAAATAATTTTATATATAATATTTTATTAATTTTCAATATATAAATGAATTTTTTTCTATCCATAAAAGGCTATTTAAATACAAATTTATAAAGTTCAATTTTTAATAATTAAATTAATGTCATTAGACAATGTAGAGTTAGTGTTTGATAACTCAGATTATAGATAGATCAATTGGTAGATACGTACTTAATTTTTATACCTTTTAGATGATCATTATAGCGATGAGGATTCACGCAATTAATTTGACTATGCCAGTACCAATAATACCTCAGTCAAACAATAGAAGAGTTTTTTGATTGAAAAGGCAAGCCCATATGACTCTCCAATAGACTGGAATCAATATCATATATATTCTCTATCCCCAACAAATTTATCGACTTAATTTGAAGTTAAAGAGTAGGATTAGAGTTGGCAACCTGGATCGACGCTTTACTGTTCCTGTTAATAGGAACCTCATTGCCTATCCTGTTGTCGGAAATCCATTTCTAATTAATTGATTTAGAAGAAAATCACAAAGCATATAAAGAAAAATGGTTACTTTTCTATCAGGAAAAACTTCCCAAAGCTCATAGGAAGACACTTACTAAAATAAATTGAATAGTCTCTCGGCTGTAATATTCCTAAAGGTATTCAGTTATTTTTGGATTATGCTATGAAAAGGAAGCAAGCTAAGCTTCAATAATCATTTGCTATTGAAGACTTTAGGAGAATTTGTCTAAATTCTGAGGAGAGCAAGGAATATTTTATAGACTTCATCTTAAATAAATTTATTGTTCATCTAATGCATAGTTCAAAATTTACTTAGATTGACCTCGTTTTAGATTTAATCCGTAACGCCTATGTTGGAGCATGCAATCCCGAGTAGTGGAAAGGAAACATGTAGATTTATCAAGCATGATATTTATAGCATAAGACATTTATAAATATAATATATTATTATTTTTCTATCCATATTTATATTGTAATATATATTAAGAAATGGATTAAGGTGATGAAAATCCAAAATATTAGTAACTTTATGAATAGAGAATAAATTCTTAAATGAAAAACCTGTCAAACTAAGCTAATTAGGAAGAAATATTCAGAATAAATTGGATAACATACTCAATCTGCTATGCCAATATTGTCATGGTAATATATTATATTTTACAATATAGATGGCAATAATTAAATATGGATGACTTTTCATTGAAAAATAAGAATCTATAAGAGTGGAATATAGAGAATTATTTTAGACATACATTTATTTATATTAATGAGTTATTAAAATCATTCTTAAAAGTTTCCTTTTGATAATTTAGGCCTGTAAGGGTAACAGCAAGTACCAATGTTTTAGTAGGTTTACTACTCTTAACAACATTAATTATATGGATTTGAATTATAACAATTCTCATCATTGAATTATAATGGATATGGCTATTATGTCTCGCCGCAAAGTAATAAAGTTTAATGTATGTTCAGTGCCATAATATCATATTTCTCCTCAACAACTAACACCTCTTGATAGTATAAGCAGTAATAGTATTAGTTTAAATGGTAATTGAATTTTTGTATTATGTATAATCAGATGAAGGAATAAAAAAGAAAAAGAAAAATAAGTCTAATAAATCTAAGAAGGATAAAAAGAAGAAAAGAAAGAGAGGTTGATATTTTTATTATTGAAAGCCAGTAGTAGTAGTTCTTCTTTTAGTAGTAGTGATTCTAGTATGAGAAGTAGCAGGAGCGATAGTCAGTATGAAAATATAAATAAATCTTTGATAGAATAAAGAAAAAAACTACATCCTTTTTACATAATGAGGATAATTGGAAATGCAAGTATTGTTATAATATTAATTTCCGTCATCGTGAAGAATGCAATAGATGCAGAAAGAGTAGAGATTAAGCTGTAAGTATATTATTATAAAATCTTTCTTAGGATAGCAGAGTAAAAAGGTTTATTCCACACCCAAATGATTGGAAATGTAATATTTGTGAAAATTTCAATTTTGCTAGAAGAAGGAGATGTAATAGATGTAAAACAGAAAAATCATAAGCAACTCTATCTTAACATTCCGAATGATATAAATTAGTAAACTTAAGTATTTTACTTAACATTTCTTATATCAAATAATTATTATATTTTATCATTCTGCTTTTTTTCTATTTACGTAATGCATAGCTAAGTTAACTGTAATTTAAGAAATTCCTACTAAAAATAAATTGTATCCCAAATGCACATATTCTAATAAAGTTGCTTGTATAATAACAAGTGCAATTGAAAGATTTTAAAAACAAAAATAAATTCCATAAATAGGTAAAGCATCCTTATATTATTCTGAAATAGTTATTGCAGAATTAAACTATCCACTGATGTCAGCAAGTCCTCTAAAAATTAATTAAAATTTTACAAGAAAAACCCAAGAATTATTGTTATTTTGAAACTATCAATAAATGATTCTACTAATGCTATAATAACAATAATGCTTAACAAATTTGTATAAAGAACTATACTTGTTTACGATTTTAAAGTTTTCTTTATAATTCCATTAATCAAAGCTCCTAAAGTTTATGCAATTCCTACAAATAAATAAACTTCAGCTGTTTTCTCATTAATAGTTTATTCATCATAATTATACTTTTCCAATGATTTATTTATAAATTAATATAGTAAACCATATTCAAATCCAATTATTATACCAGTCATCCAAAATAATGGATAATAAATATAAGTGCTTTTATCTAAAAACACCTTATACATATCCATTATATTTTATTTTATTGAATCTTCTTCTTTAATATTATCTGTTTCTCTTTCTATTTCTGAATCATTTACTTTAACTTCACTAACCATCATATCTGTCTTTTATGGAGTTCTAATAAATAAAAATAGCATTGATAATCCTAATTCTATGAAACCTGTAACCCAAAAAAAAGTTGATCTTGACACAAGTTTTAACATTAATTTAGAATAAAATCCACTTAACATGGATGATAAACCCATAAGGATATATGTTGTACTAAACATTATCTCTGATGATTCAATTGTTGCACATTGACTTACATAATAGTTTTATACAACAAAATATCCACCTAGTCCTGCTCCTAAAATAAAAGTAAAAATTATGCTTATTGGACTTAGAATCTAAGGCTTACATATCCATGTACTATCATCTCCATTTCTACAATTTGTAAGATAACTACAATTTCTATTAAATTTACTCAGAAGCAAAAAAGCTAGGCACCACTAGCAAAGCTTGAAAAGTAAATGCTATATTGAATTTTTTATTTTTTAAGTAAGCAGGAGATAGTATATTAAAAAAGAATTCTGCCATATAGATTGCCAAAATCGAATAATTACCCAAATCTACATAACCATTTTATTCAGCTATTTATGGTAACAATGAAGTCAAAGCTAAACATAAACTTAAGTGCATCATCAAAATTAAATTCATGTAAAATAGTTTCCAAAAGTTGGTTGGAATTTTCATATATATTGTATTCTTTATATTGATACATCTTAAAATTAAATTACGGTAATTTATACAATAGTAAATATATATAATATCAATTAAATGAAAGACATATTGAGATCAAATTCATAAATTAATTTAATTTGTAAAAATTAATAAAAGGTGTATGTCATCATTAGATAATAAATGCGTTTAAAATAGATTTTCATAATTTTGTGAGGATCCTATATATTATTTTATTTAAAAAATTAATGTCTTAACTGAAAAATCAAAAGAACTCTGCAGGATATCAGAATAACCATCTTTAATAGGGACTTAATTAACCACAAATAATTAGTCAATAATCGAAAGTTCTTTCTGATGAATCACCTTTTAATGTATCAAAAATATTAAAAGCAAAATAATAACAAAGCAACATTTTTAATCTCCCTTAAAAAGATTAAATTGATATTTAGGCTCTAGCAAATTAAAATGCTGAAAGTAGTAATTCAATTTAATTTAGAACTACTTCCCTATGACATTTTTTGGTGGAATAGTTAAAATGTAAAAGCTAATCAGAAATAAGATTAACTCTCCAATTAAATCCCTAATTCCCAAATTATTCAAAGTAGACCTCAAACAAGTCCTTAATAAAGATTTGAATTAGAGTAAGTTCCTAACTATTCTGAACTAACAGAAGAATAATTTTTATAAATGTAACAGCAATAATACTAATTATTTTTATAATAACACTAATAATAATAAAAGCATTAATCTAAATCATAAGAATAACATAATGATAAATAAAAACATTAAAATCTTAATTAAGATTCAAAACCAAATGATTATAACTAAATCAATGAAAATAATTAGATGATATAAACAGCATCATTTAATGAAAAACAAAAGTAAATAGAACCAAAATTTTAAGAAAATGAAATTAAGAATTAATAAAAATAAGAAAAATAACAATTTAAAAAAGAACAAAAGAAATAAATTTTGAATTAATTATAGAATCCAGAAAAATTGTATAATAAAATTAATAATCCAAATATTGAATTAAAACAAAGAAACCCAAATTTTTCTGATGTATTAGGTAATGGATTAGAAAAATATTATTAATAAAAACCTTAATAGACAACTATAAAAAAATCTCTTTAAGATTAATTATAAGAAAGTGAATTATATGGAGTTAATTATCATTAAAGATAATTATTGAAAGGAATGAGTTCATAAATGGATACACATAAATATTATGATCAAATGTTAGATAAACAAAATTAAAATTAAATTAAATTATAGTAACCAAAAAGTACATCAAAATCACCTTAGGGATCTCCTGGAAAAATACTTGAGAAGGATGATACACTATTTACCAAAAGTTTTTATACAGAATTAACAATACGAGGAATGGGTAAAGAAGTTAATTGGGAAAAATTAACAAATCAACTCAATATTCATTAAATGAATATAGCAGATATTGATGTTGTTAAAAATAAATAAGGTTAAATTAAGTAGCATAAGATTATAATAAAACATTTAGATTCAGCAAATCTATAAAATATAAAATAATGGGTAATTACTCAAGGAGGAAGAATAGTTGAAGAAAAATAAATAAAATAAGATGAATTTTAAAGACTTTAATAAATTAAAGATGGATCTAAATAAAGACCTTTAAAGATTTCAGAAGAAAAGGAGAAATTGAAAAAATAATAAAAGAAAAGACCAGCTAGTGCTATTCCAAATCAAAAATAAAAGAAATGATAAAAATCTGATTTAATTTTGAAAATTAAATTAATCATTATGTTAACACTATTAGTTAAAAAAGAAGCGGAACAAAATTCTTACGTTCTTCTAAAGTTAAAAAAGGTAGCAATTTCTAATAATTATTTTAACCATTTTTTTCTACATCTTCTAAAGGTTTTGTATTCAATTCACTCTAATTAAAATTAATATTACTTTAATAATATTTTAAAAGCTTATTATGTTTTATCTGCTCCTAATACTTATTCTAATAGTGTCTTTAATTGAAGTACTCCATTCGATTTGCCAAGGAAAGATAATTAACTTGATTCGCTAACAGGTTTTACAATTTCAGGTGAGATTTCTTATTCTTCTTCTTCATAAAGTATTTTCCCTTCAACTTCACTTTCCATAATTCTTTACTTTGTTTATTCAAATTTTTCATCAACTTCTTCTTTTTCAATTAACTAATAATAAAAATTAACATTTTTTTACAGCTTCTTCCATTTTAGCACAAATTTTAGCATCTTCAATAGCATTTTTATCATCAGATTAATCAAATTTAATTCCATAATCCATTTATACTTCATCTTATTCAGTATCATCATATTCATTTATATTTTCAAAACTTTCAATTTTTTATTATGGTTATTATTATTTTAACTATTATTAAGAAGGTTATTATTATAATTATGGTTTTTAAAGTGGTTATTTTTATTATAATGAAGGTGAACTAACATTATTCATTAATTTAGCTTTTTTAGGATTTTAATCAATTTGTGAATCTCTTTTAGTTTATGGAATTTGATTATTTGATTAAACTTAATCTATTTTCTTTTTATTGTCATTTTTAGCAAGATTAATAATAGGATTATTTTTAGATACTTAAATATTATTTTTTTTCTATATTTAATTCTTTTATGGTGTAAAAGATCTTTCTCTTTTAGAAGGTTATGGTTTCTAAGCCTATTAAACTTATTTAGGTTAGACAGGTTTTGGAGTATTTTAAATGTTATTTGGAGTAGAATTATTAGCTTTAACAAGAGGAACTGCATTTTAGTAAATAGGTCCACTTTATTATTAATTAACAAGATTAGGGGGTTTAGGAAGATCATCAAGAACTTTGATTTCTGTAATATTAGCATCTATATCTAATTTCTTGATTTAAAAATAAATAAATTTACTTAATTATGCAAAACTGTATGAGAGAATTCATTTTTTTAAATACTTTAACTTAAAAATTCTTTAATTCTTTTTACAATTATAGGCATTTCTAAAATTAAATGAAATTAACTTACTTAATATTTTATTGATTGTTGGTCTTCTGTTTGGATTTGATTATAGTAATTATTTAATAATGGCATTTAAGTCAGATGAATAATTTTATGAGATATTTGGAAAACTACCTTTACAAATTTTTAGACAAAGAAATGGCAAACTCTCAGCTTCAAAAGGAGGTTTCAACATGCACATTTCATATAAAACAATACCTATAGCCCAAATATCACTCTTAGTTAAATAAAATAAATACTGCATATGAATAAGGCTTAGATTCAATAATTTCTGGAGAAAGATAGTAAGGTGTTCCTATTTAAGTTTTTGCATTCTCTAAGGTGTGTGATAGTACTCTGGCAATTCCAAAATCACCTAACTTAATACGATTATTTTTAGTAATAAATATGTTCTAGCATTTCAAATCTCGATGTAAGATTTTACGATCATGAACATGTTTAAGGGCCAAACATATTTAAGTAAACCAATCCAAAATTTATATCTCTGGTAGCTGCTTTCCATTTTAGCTCTTTAAAACGCAACCCAAATCACCTCCTAAAGTAGACTAGGGACATTCATTTACTATCAGCATATTCCATGATGATGCAGAGTTTCCCTTAGGTCGTAATGTATACATCTCTGAACCTAATGATATTTGGATGCTGGAGTTATTATAGTACTTTAAACTCTCTATAGGTATCCATCTTCTCTTTTTCTGTCATCACATTAATGTCTATTTATTTTTGAACCCACAATGAACTTACAATAAATTACAACCTTTATACCCATCATTTATATCTTTAACCAAATAAGCTTTACCATAAGCACCCTCTCCAAGTGGTTTGATTCTATTATACTAAGAATATTGCATGTTAACTGTTTAATAATAATTATATATATAATAATAAAAAGTCTTTTTTGATTTTATGAAATTGTACTTGTCAAAGTTTTTGGATAAATTCTGTATTAAATTATTCAATCTTTAAAAATAATATCTAATTTTCATTAAAACATCTGACTGTTAATATTTTTATTAAATGTAGCAACATTATCCTTAACAAGTTATACCATAAACATATCATTAAACCTAGAGAAATGCTTCTAATTCTCCTCTTTAAAGAGTTGTTACTCCTCAACCTTTAACTCCCACAAATAACTAACCTAAACGATAATATGAATAAGTTGATATAGACAACCATTATTCAGCAGATATGAGACTTAAAAATAGATAATCTAGTAATCTTCCTAATGGATAATCTTATGAAAATATGGCATTAAGAGTATAAACTTTAGAAAGAGAGAATTAGAGTCTCAAAAAATAACTTGAATATGCTAATAATCAAATTCAAAACTTAACCCATAAACTTAATCAACATCCAACTTAGACTCTACTTAAAACAACTACCTTCGAACTTGTCGTTCTTTAAAAAGCAGTAGAATAATTAGAAGGTTTGAAGATTGTATTAGCAAAAAAAAAGTTGTAAGGAAGTAATAATTAAACTACACTTCCTGAGTCTTGTAAAGATGTTACTAGTGAATTTAAGAGTAAAATAACATTAGTAGAAGATAAAGCTATTCAATCATTTTAATAATCTTAGGTATATATATTAATTTTATTCATCAAAGACTAAGCTATTATTCCCAAAAGAATAATCAATCTAAAATTTATAATCTAATCCATTCTCTAAAGAAGAAGCTAAGGAACAACCAAGATCTGGAAGAAGATTATAAGCAAATACTTAATCTGATTAAGTTGAAGATAGAATTAAAACTAGTCCAATAAAATATCTAAATGTTAAAGCTAGTGGCAATTAGATGTCTTTAAGAATATCCCCTAAAGGAAGATCAGAAATATAATAACACTGATATATAAATGTATATAAATAGTTAATCTGCCATTCTAATTCTTATTTGTTTAATTCAAAAATTTTTAATGTTTAATTATTTTATTACTTAACAATAAATAAATAAAATTGATAAAAAATATTATATAGTAACTCATTTCTTACTTCTCTTTTTTTTTTTTGATTTTTTTTTCTTAGCAAATGGATCAACTTTCATACCAAATCCAGGTGGTGGTAAAGAGTTTCCTTCTGGATCCTTTAAGTTAATTGGATCTGGAATTAATAGAGCATTAACTAATTTTTACACAGGTACTGCAACTCCTTTCTTAGCCAATCTCAATTTTATTTCTTCTATTTCCTATTCAATATAAAATAATAATTACTTATAATTAATCATAACGAACTTAATCTAATGGTTAAGCAGCTAATATTGCAGACAAAGGTCTTTTTTATTGTTGAGTTAATGATAATTATTTACCATAGATTGACATACTTTATTCAGGTTTAAGACGATTTGCTTCATCTTCTTCTTATAATCCTATTATATTTCCATGAAGTTTTTTTATTTTGTTTATATTATGTTTTGATATTTGAGATTCAAGTCCTCTAAAATCAGTATTATTCATAAATTTTGGATCTTTTTAATAATTAGGAAGTTTTTCATTTAAATTTCTAGGTTGACATGTTTAAGGACGTACTTTTTTTTATTATCGTTTTTATCCATCATCATCAATTAATCCAGTTTATCCATCAATTTCAATATTATTTTAACTCATTTATACTTCTTCATCTGATAAATCACTTAAATCATCTTCCCATTTAGGTTTATTTTTACTCAAACTTAATTGATGATTCCTTTAAATCTATATATATATATATATATTTACTTTATCTAATTCTTTGTAATCCTATTCTTTATTTTATCTTTCTTTCATTTCTAATTCTCTAAATCTATTACCATAAGTAGCACTTTCTATTCTTCTATTCATTTCTCTTTCAACTCTAGCTTTATTAGAAGACCATTAATGCATCATAGCAACTAATTCTTCATCCTCTCTTTTTTACTATGCTTCTTTATTTCTTAATTTTTAGTATTTCTATTAAATATTTAATTCATTAGATTAATTAGAATTTTAATATTATTGAAAACCATCTCTTGTTTCAAAATCTAAGTTTCTAGGTTTCTAATTGTTTTCTACTTATTCATCATTCAAAAAAACTTTTATTTATGGTTCAAGTGTCCTTTCTTTCTTTTTTGCTTCTTCTTCTTATATAATTAATTTAGCCTCATTTTCAGCTTATCTTGCAGCCAATTCTTCTTCATTTAATAATACTTCATCATTATTATCTACTAAATCTCCTTAAATTACTTCTTCATCTTTATCTTCTACTATAGCTGTAGGTTTAGCTGATTTTATTGGTTTTGGAAATGTTGATTTCATTTAAATTTTACCTGAACTATCAACTGCACTTTAAGGTCTAGGTGCTTAAAAATTTTAAATTATCCTTCTTTTATAATTAGTTAATCTTTGATCTGGCGGAGGCATTGAATCATGTTTAGTTCTAAATCCATTTTAATAATCATGTAATTAATCTTAAATTATATCACCTGGAAGTAAAGTTCCTTTACTATATTGAGATTCTTTCTTAAATATAATTTAAATAATTAAATACCATTTAATCAATACGAATAGTACCAGTAACTCCAGAATCAGGTCTATCTGGATGAGTTTATTCAATAGTTGTTTCTGCATATCCATCTATCACAGTAATTGGATATCCAGATTATGGTCGCATACTTTTAATTGTTAAAGCACTTTGAGGTCTTTTAGCTTAAGTTACACTACTAAATGGTCTCTTAGTTTATCCTGTTGGTGGTCTAGTAGGTCCTTAATCACTGTCAAGTTTACGACTTTAATAATCAATTTTAGTTATTGTTTCTAATGCCCAATTATAACATCTTGTTATGAATTTAGCTTGCAACTCTCTATTACGTGTAAAAAATGATATCTCTCTTATTACATTGGCTAAAGAACGAAAAAACTATAGTCTCCACATTCCATTACGTATTCTAGCATTCCTTTGCTAGGCATTTAGAACCTGATGAACTGAAGACAGTTACTTCTGCATTAAACATCTCTATCATGGTTATCATACCTTGGTACTCCTCATTATTATCTAAGAATGCTGATTTACATTTATCAACAGTTACTGTTTCATAATAATGCATTGTTTCCCAAGTATTTACTTTGTAATTTTCCATCATCTATTAATGTGATACTATTCGTTCTTATAGTTATTGAAATTCCTCAAAAGTATAGTCTCCTTTTCCTTCAAAAGGCAACTTTTCAAACATCTATGGCACATCATCATCATCATATTTAATAATTGATTGATGAATTGGTTATGATTATTGAAACATTATTTATTAATAATAATAATTAATATCAATTGAATTTTTTATCTAACTTATATTTTATTTAATCTTTTTCTCTATTATTTGATGATTGTTGATTTTATTCTCTCTAATTAGCAACTATTAATCAATATAAATATTATTACTCTTATTATAAGGTGTAGATTTATTAAGTGATTCAAAAAATAATTCTCTATTTGATGGTTTATAAGTACTATATAACTACTTTCTCAACTCTTCTACTCTATTTGTTTCTGGAGTCTTTCTTCTATCCTATAAAAATCTCTAATTTTCAGATAAAATTCCTTATTAATCATTTTTTGAATAAATTAACTAAAATGGTTACTTTTTAGGATATCCTAATTCTGATCTTGAAGCTTTTAAACTTTGAACCTATTTTTAAGGAGAATTTTGTTTTTGTTATCTATAATTGAATAAAATATCCTTATTAGATTCTTCAACTATAAAATTTTATATAAATGATTACCTTTTGGTTTAATATAATTAAAGTTTAATTTAGGTGAAACATCTCTTCTAATGTATGTATTAGAATAATCCCTATTTTATTCTCTATTTTTTAAAATTGATATCCCATCTCCTACTCTACTTTTATTATTTCTCTTATACTATTCCAATTCCATTCTCAGTTTCTCTATATCAAATTTTGAATTATTATTTAAATAAGGTTAATGTTTTTAAGATGTATTTTTTGATAAGTTCTTATCATTTTAAATCTCAAATGAAGTGAATGGTCTATAATTTGAAATATAATCACTAGCATTTTTTAATAATTTTGGCTACTCATTATTTTTTGGACTAAAAAACGAATTCTATTATTAATTAGTAAACATCCATGTTCTATCTACATCTATAAGACTTTATTTTTTTGAAAAAGCAGTTGGACTTTATTGTCTCTTTTACACTTAGACTATGTCATTCAAATAAAACTTTCTTTTTTAAGATTGATCTCTATCATGCATAGATGAGTATTATTATTTTGGAAGGTATTAAAATGAATTCACTTATTGTTAAATATCATTTGAAGGAAAACGTTTAAGTTTTTCACCTTTATCATAATTCAAAAATGAAGGCATCTTACTCAATTAATGATTAGTAAAAGGCTTATATTCATCAGGAGATCTCTAAGGTAATGGTCTTTAGTAATAAGAATTGTAATATCTTCCTTATCCACTGTCAGTAGATTTACGCTCTGCTGGTGATTGTCGATCATAAATATTAAAATTGAATTGCTTTTTCCGATCAAGATAATTTGAATCTAACAAGTAATTTGGATTCTAATTCTTTAACATCACACGATCTTCTAATCTTTTGGACATAATATTTATCTGTTAATTATTAATTAAAGTTTTTAGATATAAATAATTATATTCAATTATTAATACTATTTTAGATATAAATTATTATATTCAATTTTTATTAAGTTGTTATAATAAATAAATTAAATTAATTCAATTACCAGATAAACTAAACTCATATTATTTATGATCAACATAATCATCCCAACCTATAGGTTTAATATCTTCATCCTATTCCAACCACTTTATTCGTCTACCACCTTCCCACAATCCCAATTAACTCTTACCATTTGATAATATATATCTACCCTTTCCAGCTTATTTCCCATTAACCCAATATCCTTCATACTCTATAATTTAATTCATATATTAATACTTCTTCCATCTGGCCATATATAAACACCATATCCTTATTTCTTGTCATTCATGTATTCTCCATTATACTATCTTCCATCTGGCCAAATATAAGTCCCTCTTCCATTCATTTAACTCTTTCTCCATTAACCTTCATATTTCTTAATTGAATATAAATTTTACTCTACCATCAGCCCAGTAATGAACTCCAAATCCTTCCATCAAATTATTTTACCAATTTCCTATATAAAATGAACCATCATTCCAATAATACTTTCCAAATCCATCCTTCTTACCATGACTATAATTTCCCTCATATCTAGAATTATCTACCCAAATCTCTATTCCATAACCATGAGGTTGATCATTTAACCATTCTCCTTCAAATTTTGCTCCATTAGCATGTAAATATACTCCCTAACCACAAGCTCTATCTTCTTTCCATTATCCCTCATAATAATCTCCTCCTAAATGCCAAAACTTACCCTTCCCATCAGCTTTATTATTCTTCCATTCTCCCTCATATTTAGCACCATCAACCCAAACTTATACTCCATAACCATCTCTTTATTAACCTATCCATTCACCTTCATAAGATGCTCCACTCTTAAATATATGTTAGGTTCTTCTTTCTCTCTAATTACAATTTGATCTACTTCCCAATGTTTCTAAAAGATCCTCATGATTTCTAAATGCCATTTCATTTTTCTTTCTCTAACTATCACTATTAGACTCTAACTATTAATTATGAAGATTACAAGAAGTTAAATTTATCTCTGCTTTCTTAATTGTTTATTATTAATTTTGAATCTCATGATCAACATGATCCTAAATATCTAATTTTGATTCTTTCTAATCATCTTTCAATGAATTATCTAAATCATCTTCTTCCTCATTATCTGGTTGATTATGTGAATAATGATTCATTGATTGTTGATGAAATTCACTAATTAAAATTTCATCTTTCCTTTAACAACTCTAACAATTCGAACATTAACTCCCCATCTCAAACTACTTAGTATAATTTAAATTAAATAATATGAAATTTCAGAGTATAAAAATTATAATATTACAATTTTATTTCCATTCAGCACAAAACTCAAAATAACTAATATTCTATAAATCAAATTATAATTTTATTACACTAAATTTCTTTTCAAAATCTTTAAAGGAATAAAACTTTCTTTTTCAGAAATTACTAATTCTAAATATGTAGTTGCTCAATCCTATTTTTCTTTTAGGGGTTTTATAGATATAATAAACTTCTTTAATTCCATTCAATTAAGTTTTGATTATTATAAATACTCAATTTTATTACTCATCTTATATTTAAAATTAAATGATTTTTTTATATTAATTGATAATTTAGGAATAAAACTTTTAAAATATCATAAAATAATTAATTAAAATTAGCAACCTATAAAGTTACATTGGATAGTTATATGATAATACTAATTAATCACATCAAGAGTATAAATCTAATATATAATATGAAAAAGAATAATACATATAAATATGATCATTAATTTGTTCTATTACAAGAATAAATACTAAGAAATTAAAACAATAACTAATTGAAAAACTTAAAATTAAATCAAATAAAATAACCACAATGAACATTACATATATATAATAAGGAAATAATTTTTTGGTTACTTTTTATGTCAAATATAATTATTCATTAAAAAAACCTTTAAAATTCCTCTTCTAATTCATACTAATTCTTAAATTCAGCTATTCTAACTGCTTCTATTATATCATTTTGAGATATTTTTAATGATTCATTCTTCACAGCTAACTCTTTAGCAGTTTCTATTATTTCTTAAATATATAGTAATGTCACATTAGCCAATATACCTGCAGTAATGTCTTCCATCATTATTCCTGGAAATAAGGCTTATATTAATTTTTGTTAGTTATCAATATTATCTGCTTTAGACTTTAGTTTATATATTTTAATATAATACTTTATTAGGTTTATATTCAATGAAATTATCTCTAAAACCATGATATTTTTATTCAAACTCTTTTAATCTATCTTCTTAGTTTAAATCATCTTGAAAATATGTTTCTTTTACTGTGATTTCATCAAGTCTGATTCTTTAAATTGCTTTATTTAAGAAATTTTCCTTATTTATCATTCTAAAGTAAAATAAAACAAAAAATTATATAAAAGTTAATCAATTTTTTTTAGTTTATAATTCTTCCTCTTATTTTAAATTTTCAACTGATTATTCTAATAAGTTATCATTTATTGTAGGAGTTTTTTTTGTTATTCGTATTATTGGAACTGGTATCCATACAATCTTTTTTGGTTCATTAAATGATGAATCAAACAGCTATTCAAATTTAAATATAAAATTTCTTGGACATAAATAGCTGATGTTACTATCTTTTTATTATTATTCAGATTATTTGATATCCACTTTTTTATTTGGTTGAGGTTCAATATTTTATAATTCTTATTTACATTTAATTTCAGTTTTGAATGTTTTACTTTCTAATTCTTCTTATTTTTCAAATTCATAATCAGACATCTTCAAATTCTATGAATATTTTTGTTTAAATACCAAAGTCATTTGATGTTCTGATAATTTATGCTTTGAATAATATCTATTCTTTACCTCGATTTCCTAAAGATGAAATTAATTTTCTTTACAGATCGATATTTCATTAATTAAGCAATTTAATTCCATTTTGTTCCATATTAATTAAATAAATGGAATAATTAATTATCTTCCTCCTCATTCCAAGGTCTGTTAAACAATGGAATATTTAATTAATTACATCTATTTTGTATTTGACTTTATGTTTTGTTTTACATTATTAAATTTAATTTACTCCAATTTTCACCATATTTCAATACTAAATCTTATAATTCTTCATCTTCCTCTTTTGTCCATTGTACATATTATTCATTCTTTAGATGAGCATGGAATTCTTACTTATAACATATGCCATCTTTAAATGCATTAAGATTCAGTTTTCCCTGGAATTGTTGCTGCTACTTTATTCCATTAAACACCATGAATTTTAATTAAATCCTTTAATTTTAAATCTTCCTCATTATTCCAGGTAGAATTGCTTCCAGATTCTGAATCAGTCTGTGTTTTTTACATGTTTTTTTATTATATTTAATATTATGATTTTTCTATATTCATAATTTGATATTCCTAATTTTTATAATAATATATTTATAGTTATAGATAAGTATCTCATATATAATTTGATTTATTTTATATAGGAATTCTTTAACTATTATTACTCCATTGTTTATTCTATAAATATTAAATCAATATTTTGTAAACTCTAAATAGAAATTTATTTTTCTCTAATTAAATCTATTTATAATTGTAAAAATAGATTAGAATAATCTAATTAGTCTAAATAAAAATATCTTTTAATATAATAATAAAAAATAAAGGTATTAGTTTGAAAATATTAATTATGATAAAGTTGCAATTATAATCAATTTTAAAAGAAACTGTTAATTTAGTCAGAGTCTTTATAGTTGAATATGATTTTATTATGAATTTAATAATATTCTTAATTCAATAATATCATCTAGAATTTTTTTTTTCTAAAACCATTAATTGATTAAAGTAATAAAAAAATGAATAAGAAATTACTTATTTCATAATAGATGATTTTAATAAAATGATTATAACTATGAACTAATATTTATAATAAAATAGTAATCAAATCAAATCATGACAGTTATCTATAGAAACTCAATAATCTAGTAATTTGAAGAGATCTAATTCTTTTATTTTTTGATTTGTTGTGAACATTCTTTAAGATGCTAATAGTTTATTATTAACAGTTCTTTTCTTCTATTGAAAGCTTATTAGTAATCATAATTTGAGAAATAAAGATTTCTTTTTAAATATGATCATTTGTCATCATATTAATTTCATAATCTTCATCTAAAAAATTTTTATCTTATAATTTTAAAACTGCTTCTTCAGGAGTAAATAATAATTCAACTTCTTCTTTTTTGGAATATACTGAAATGAATGATCTATTGAGATTGTTTGCAGATGAAGGTGAAGTATTGTCTATTAGATTAGATTTTTGTTAATCCAACTATTCAGAATCCATAGTCATTTTCCTTTAAAATACTTATGAGTCTTTATCATAAATTTATTCACTCATATAACGACATCTTTTATATAAAGGTGACTCAGTTCTATTAATTCGTTGTTACAATACTTATTCTAATGATCCCTATTAAGCTATTGTTAATTAAAGGTTTTGTTAGTTAAGAAATTTAGTTGTGATCTTTTTAACTTATAATTTTGAGTCATCTATCCAATCACTTCTTTTTTTAGTATTCTTATTATAAAATAATAAACTATGTGAGACTTTATATTATTTTGTAATGAGTTCTTCTTAAAATATAGATGTCATAGTCATCATGGCAATTGCAGATCGTAACCAAATAGTTAATTATTTGAGTAATGAATTACTATTTTTATTAGTTAACTGATTAGAAATAGTGCCTTGTTATTAAATTAGACACCATTCCTCAACTAAGAAAGAGTTTCCATCATTTTCAATAAAAAATTACACAATCATTTCATTCTATTGAGATGTCCTCCAATTGTTTTAGAGTAACTGTCTTACATTAGCATTCATTTCTTTAGTCCAAATAACGCCTATTTCTTTTACTTAATTTTAGATGGATGGCTGACATTACAAGAACGGATAAGTTCTGGATGATAATAAAATATCAGCAAATTTTGTGAATAATAGTTGGAACATATTCATGACTTTTTAAATTAACAATAATAAGAATAAATAATCAAATGAACATGTGCTTTAAAATATAATCGAATAATAAATGCGTAATAATTATAAATCTCTAAAACATTATTAATGAGCATAAATATCTCATCATTTATAATTGTTTATTTATATTTATTAAAATCTATATCTATAATTTAATCATATTCTCTTGAAAATATAAATAAATTTATAATAAATCTAAATTATAAATATTTCAAGTTCAATCTGTTAATAATATAAAAAAATTAGAGATTATAAAATATATATATATAAATTAAATATAGTTAATAAATGAGAGATAATTAAAATAAATATATAAATAACTATCAATTTTTAATTAATTCAGCTAAACTTAAAGCAAGTAAATAACTGGGTATATATTCTTTTGATTTTATAATATCATTAAAAGTATTATTTATTGTATTAGCTGTATTAATTGTATATGTTGTATTTAATGTAATACTCTTTTAAATATCTACTTTTTTTTATATACTATTATTAATATTATTATGTGTATTTTATAGATGAATTAATTATTTTTTAAGTATTTAATTTTCTATTCTTTATTAATTTAATGATTCTTATAATTACAATACTATAGATTCTCTATTACTTGATTATTTTATTTATGTATTTTCTTTCTTTAATTTTGATACCATTTCAGTTAATTTTGATGATTCTTTTTCTAATTCTGCTATTCTCATTAAATATTTAATTTCTTTCTATTTATTCTCTTCAAATTTATTTTTATTATTAATTTCTTGTATCTATATCTTTTATAAATGTTTTTTTTTCTCTTAGAATGCATTTGCTAAATAACATTACAATATATTTGCATTTTCATTCTAAGTTATATTTCTATTATCATAAAATGAATTATTTGTTTTTCTTTTACTACGATTCACTTATGATAAAGCATATAATTTTACAATCTCCAATTGATGTATTTTATTTAACTTTTACTTTATCTCTATTCAAAATTCTAGCACTTTTTATTGCTTCAGCTTGTATAATTTCTCTGACAGTTTTAATCTCTCTTGATGTATTACGATAATATGGCATAGTTGTATTTAGAGACATTGATGGTTTAACTGCTATAAAACTAAAATTATTAATTAAATTAAGAATAAATCAATAATAATAAAAGAAAAATAAATCAATTTTCAAGTCTTTCAATAAATATAGTTCTACATATTGGACAAGAACCTTAATCTTGTATCCAAATTCTTATACATTCATCATGAAAAATGTGATTGATTTTCTTATTACCACCATCTACATTACAAGGTAATTTAACACAATTATCATCAATTTAATAGGTCTATAAACATATTGAACATTCTTCATGTATATTCGTATCCTAATTCTTTAAATCTTAAAATTTTTGTGAATTTAAATTTGATAGAAATCCAATCCTTTATTATTCTATTCTATGTTGTTTATATTCATAATAAAGATCAGTACACCAACTACATGATTACCATATAGCCATTCCTATTAATATAGGAATGATAGCACATATTATTAATATTATACATATTATCATAGCTATAACCATGTAACCTATCAACATTGAGATCAATGTCAAAATTATTAATATGAATTCAAATTAATCCATTCCTTTCATTTTATCATTCCAATTCAGAAATGCCCATTATATTATTGTGATATTACCCCAAGCAAATAATATCATTTTAACCAATAAACATACACGATTTAAAGCAAACATTTAAGAATTTTAACTTTCAAGCAAATAAGATAACCATTTAGTTGTTGTTATCTTTTCAGATATACTAATAGCTACTTATTATGCTTAGGAATTCTATTCTTCATCATCTAATATATCTTCGAATGGACTATTTAATTTTATTGTATATTTTAAGTATTCAATAATTGAATGAGTTACATCTCCATGATTTATTTGTTCAGCTTCATTTATAGTATATCTAAGTTGACAATTAATATATATGACTAAACAATCAGAGATTAGATTGAATCCAAAATAAACACTGAATAATTCTTTTATATCATCCTTAGTAATTAATGAAAAATATAAGGCTACTACTTCATTAATAATAAAAATTAAGTTGAGAATTGTAAATACATTTATGATTATACAACTCCTAAAAATCACAGTTTTAAGGACATTGTTTAATTGAGGACATTCATTATTAAAGAGAAGCTATATGATATCTTAAAAACTTATATTTAGATATTGTTCTGTTTCATTTTATGATGTATCTAATAATTCAACTTAAGGAAAGTCTTAAAAATGATTAAAGCTCTATTAAAATGATTATAATTGTTCAGCTGATTAAAATTGTATTGATTAATTTTGATAAAGTTACTCAGATTTATTTTAGAAGGATAATGATTCTGGATTATTAATGACTTTCTCTTATTATTAAAATTAAGCTGTAAACTCATTGAATTCCGATTAAATTGATTAATCTAAATTATTCATTAACAAACAAAAAATTTATTATTAGTTTTTTCTTTTATTAATAATTTATTCATAAATCCTAATTATATTTAGAAATATCAAAGAAAAAAGGTTAGTAAAAATATTAAAAAATAATAATGTATTATTTAAATTACTCAAACTTTTTAATTAACCTTTTAGTATTTCCTTTAAAATTTGTAATAGATTAATTAATATATTAATTTTTTTCTATAAATTTTAATATAAAAGATAGATATAAAATAGATATGTTTATAAAAATACAAAAGAATATTGTAAATTTTATAATAATAATTAATGTTTCAACAATATAAATTTATTTATTAAGACATTTATTATAATTGTGAAATCTAAAACAATTTGATATTAAGTTTTATTATCAAATAGGTATTATTATTATTTAATCTATATTTTAATATCTATTAATATTTATATTTAAATTTATTCAATAATTAAATGATTTTCCATGTTTCTAGCATTCAGTTTTAAGTTTTAGAAATAACAAATCTTGTTATTCAATATTAACTAAATAAAATCTTTTGATTTATTTGGTAGTAAAAATAAATCTAAATGTAGGCTTAGCTTCATTTTTCTTAATTAATATTTAACTTAAATTATTTAAAGAATTTGTAGAACTGACTAAATATTTATCTTTACTGATTAATTAGAAAAAGTATATCCAGCCACCATCTAAAGCTAAATACCTTTCAGTTTCTGAAGATAAATAATCAATTAACGATTTATGAGTTTTTATTGGTTTAATAACTCTAAATGTACTCCCAGGAGGAAAATTGATGATTTATTTTTTCTAATATCCTGAATCTAATGGTTTACCAACTTATTTAAAATTATAAAGGATTAATATTCTGTACTCTTTTTGCATTTCACTCATTGTTTATTATTCTGAATCATCTTCTTCATCATTATAAATTTAATTGGCTTCATCTTCATTATCAATCTTGAAAACATTAGGATCACTAGATCTTCCTTTAGTACTTTATTATGAACTTTATTTAGATTATTTAGATTCTGTTGGTAATGATGAAGTTGCTTCATTATAAATAATTTCATCAGAGGGAGCATCATTAAAAAATTATTTGATAGAATCCAAAAAAGAACTCTTTTTCTTTGGTTACATTATATAAATATTTATATTTATTTGAAAATTATATTGTAGTTAACAAATTGATATAATTAATTAAGATCAAGCTCTCTTAATAAGATTTCTTTGTTGCATTAAATAATCATCTTCAGAATCTTCTGAATCACTAGATTGATCTTCACTTGAATCACTATTTGAATTTTTATTATTAAACTTCTTTAAATCAACTTATTTAATGGCAATATCATCTTCTGCAAATTCTTCAAAGGAAATATTTTATTATTATTTGCCTTAAAGTTTTTCAACATCTTCATCTTTTAATTCAGTGTTATCAAGCATAATATTACCTTTATCATCAAATTATACAATGTATCTTTTATATTATACTCTAATACTTAAGTGGCTTAAATGAATCAATATCACTTATTTCTTTAATCTTATCAATATTTTCAAATAATTTTAATTCCATTTCAGCTCTTTCTTTATCTCTTTTTTCTTTATCAATACCTCCAGTTCTTACTCTATCTTTTAAGATATTAAATTAATTGACTTATTATATTTTTGCTTATTCTTCTTCAAATCTAACTTATTTCTTCTTTTATGGTAATTCTTATAATTATTTAAATTCGATCACTTCTTCATCTTTAAAAATAGTATGTTTATTTAGGAATCTTTAAATATGATATCTAGTCCATATATATTCACAATCTTCTTTATGTATTTATTTTTCACCAACATTTTTTAATAATTTATTTAAGCTCAAATAATTACAATATTTGATACTTCAGTAATTAATTCAAAATCAAATTACAAATCTGCTACTACATGATTCAAGTGCTTTACAATATACTTTTCAGCATTTTTTTATATTTTTTAAGAGCTTTCTATTTCATTCACATCATAAAAATACTCTTTAAACATTTTATAAAATAAATTATAATAAATATTAATTTATTTATATATTTTTTTATTTTTAAGAATAAAGAATTAAATTATATATTTATATATTGCAATCTTTAAAAATCGATATCAATTAATAGGGGATCGGTCTGTCCATCCACTTAGAGATAAATTACTCGAATCAGGTATTGGTAATCTTTTTGCTGTTTATTTTTATTGTAATATTTATAATGATGAGAGGATTGCTTAAGATTTTTTATCAGTTTCAGATGAATTAGGTTATTTTGTTATTACATTAGTTGTTTATAATAAATTAGACACATTATTAAAGTTATTGACTTTGATAATTGGTTTAGTATCTTATTGTTAATTTGATGTATTTTATATATTACTAATTTATGTAATACTATTATTAGTTGCTGTTTAATAACTAACAATCACATTTTTTTATATTGGAGCAATATTTTTAGTGCTTCTTGAAAACCCTTTTTAAGATTTGATTTAAGGAAGTCTTTATTATACAAGTTTTTATTCATTATTATCTTCTAATTTCTATTCCTTTTATTCAGGACTTCTTCTTAATAATTCTACATTATATAATTCATGATGAGATTAACATTAATTTTAATTCTATTATTTACCTTTGGCTCTTTAAGTAATAGTAATTTATTTCACAATATGTTCTTATTAAAGAAGCAATTTTGTATTTTTTGGAACTGATGTTTTACGAGACAAAACAGTTGCTTCTATCATTTTATGTGGTAATTCTCTATGTTATAATTTCTTGACTAATTAAGCAACTTTTGAAAGTATGTCTGTTTTATTAGATTTTTATGAATTCATAGGAGGATCATTTTTGAGCTCAAATTTAACGATATTTCACTTACATAATTTTGCTGTTTGTACCTTATTTAAGGAATCTAACATTTCCAATTTACTCATTATTCTAACTCTTGCAACACTCGATACATTAGGTACATATTGAGATCTACTCTTTTGAACACAAAATTGAGATTATGATCTTAATGGTGAATGATATGCAAATCTTAATTATCGATCTTAAAATATTGTTTCAGAATAATTATTAGCCTTAAACTCGTTAATTAATATACTTACGAATGTGATCTCGTCTGCATTCATTAAATATGTATTTTATAAAATTAACTAAAATAAATCAATTATGAAACAATATCCCAATATCATTCTAATACCATCTTAGTTCCTTAAACCTAAATTAAAACTTTTTAATTATTATTTTATATCATGATCAATGTTACTAATATAAAAGTTATATTCATAACTATAAAAGCAATTATATATTTAAATAAACTATTTAAACCTCTTCTTCAAGGCTAAATCAAAATTTTATAACCCAAAAAAGTTAGATTTACAAAATATATTCTTTTAACTTAAAAATTAAATCAGTCCAAATATAATACTATACATCAATTATTAAATATTTTTATAATACAAATAAAGCATACTTTATTGTTAAATCATTAATTATGGTTATATTTCTTTAATTGCTTTTTAAAATTATTACTATCTACAATTTTGCCCCCTTTTCTTTATTATTACAAAAGCTTATCTATATAATTCACCTTTATAAATATCAATTAGAGTATTAGGCTTTCAGATTATTTTTTACTTTATTTTCAAATTTTTTTATTGTTTTTATTTTATTTCTACATCCCTTTGTTTTCTATTTATTGTAACAAACATTTTATTATTTTGCTTTACAACTAAAATAAAATAATTATTTAATAATAGTAGTTTTAAAGTATTTTTCATTCCCCATCTAATTGATTTTTTAATCAATTATGAATATATATAACTTATTTAGATATTAAAATCATTATTGAAAGATTTGGTATAATAATTATAGCTCATAATTCCAATTTTCAATAACCAAAATTTTACTTTTTTTTAATTTGAGGTGAAAATTATTAAATTGAAAGTGATATCCTTTTTCATTCTTATATGTCTAATCACTCTAAGCTGTATTTATATTAATATGATAATAATAATATTTTAATAGTAGAATATACTAATTAAGAAAATTAAATGTGAATACAATATTAATCAAATATATATATATATATATTGAAAATTAGCATTAATGCATTTTTAATTAAAGAATAATATATAATCAAGTTAATTCTCTAAAAATAGAATTTTCGAGAAATTAGTATTTGAATTAATTTAAAATCAAAATTTCTAGAAACTTCCAATAATCTATTGATAAACAAGTTAAGTGTGGTAATTCTTTATAAATAATAATAGAAATTAATAATGGCTTAAACTCCTGCTATAGGTATTGATTTAGGAACAACCTACTCTTGTGTAGGTATTTGGGTAAATGATAAAGTTGAAATCATCCCAAATGATTAAGGTAATAGAACAACTCCCTCATATGTTGCATTCACAGATACTGAAAGACTTATTGGTGATGCCGCCAAAAACTAAGTTGCTAGAAATCCATAAAACACAGTTTTTGATGCTAAAAGATTAATCGGAAGAAAATTCGCTGAACCTACAGTTCAAAAAGATATCAAATTATGGCCATTCAAAGTTGAAGCTGGTGCTGATGACAAACCAATGATTGTTGTTAAATATAAAGGAGAAAACAAAAAATTCCATCCAGAAGAAATCTCTTCAATGGTCTTAACCAAAATGAAGGAAACTGCTGAAGCTTATTTGAGCAAATAAGTCTCAAAGGCTGTTGTCACAGTTCCAGCTTATTTCAATGATTCTTAAAGATAAGCCACAAAAGATGCTGGTGCCATTGCTGGTATGAATGTTTTGAGAATTATCAATGAACCAACAGCAGCTGCTATTGCTTATGGTTTAGATAAGAAAGCTAAACATGAAGAACACGTTCTCATTTTTGATTTAGGAGGTGGTACTTTTGATGTCTCCTTATTGGCTATTGAAGATGGTGTTTTTGAAGTCAAAGCTACTGCTGGTGATACTCACTTGGGAGGTGAAGATTTTGATAACAAACTTGTCGAATATTGCTGTGCTGAATTCTTAAAGAAGAAAGGTATTGATATCAGAGGAAATCCAAGATCATTGAGAAGACTTAGAACTTAATGTGAAAGAGCAAAGAGAGTTCTCTCATCTGCCAATTAAACAACAATTGAAGTTGATGCTTTAGATGCTAATGAAGATTTCAATTGCACAATCACAAGAGCTAAATTTGAAGAATTATGTATGAGCATGTTCAAGGAATGTATCCCACCTGTTGAAAAGGTTCTTAAAGATTCTGGTATTTCCAAGAATTAAATTCACGAAGTTGTCTTAGTTGGAGGATCAACAAGAATTCCAAAAGTCTAAGAATTATTGAGAGATTATTTCAATGGAAAAGAATTGAACAAATCAATCAATCCAGATGAAGCTGTTGCTTATGGTGCTGCTGTCTAAGCTGCTATCTTAACAGGATAAGGTAACGAATAAGTTAAAGATCTCTTATTGTTGGATGTCACCCCATTGTCTTTAGGTATTGAAACTGCTGGTGGTGTTATGACTGTTTTGATCCCAAGAAACACAACCATCCCAACAAAGAAATCATAAACCTTCACAACATATGCTGATAATCAACCAGGTGTCTTAATTTAAGTTTATGAAGGTGAAAGATAAATGACAAAAGATTGTCATAAATTGGGACAATTCAATTTAGATGGTATTGCCCCAGCTCCAAGAGGAGTTCCATAAATTGAAGTCTCATTTGATCTTGATGAAAATGGTATCATGAACATCCATGCTGAAGACAAAGCCACCAAGAAATCAAATAAAATTACTATTACAAATGACAAGGGTAGATTATCTAAGGATGATATTGAAAAATTAGTTAAGGAAGCTGAAAAATTCAAAGCTGAAGATGAAATCATTAAATCAAAAATTGAAGCCAAAAACAGTCTTGAATAAACAACTTATTAAATTAGAAATACCATGAAAGATGAAAAATTAAAGGACAAATTCACAGCTGATGAAAAATCAAAACTTGAATCATTGATTGATGAAACAACTAAATGGATTGATGCTAACCCAAATGCTGAAACCAATGATTACAAAAATAAATTAAAGGCTCTTGAAGAGGTCTTCCATCCAATCATGTAAAGAGTTTATCAAGCCACTGGAGGTGCTCCCCCAGGAGCTGAAGGAGCTGGATTCCCAGGAGGTGCTGGATTCCCAGGAGGTGCAGGATTCCCAGGAGGTGCTGGATTCCCAGGTGGTGCTGGTGGATAAGGACCAACAGTCGATTAAGTTGATTGATATTTATCTTAGTGTATATGTTAAAATTAAAATTCAATTTCATAACTTTTTCTTTTTCTGACTTAATTAAGTTTCATTAAGAGAATAAAAAATTTACAAATATATACATATATATTTAAGTATGAATATGTCTTTATTTTTTAATATAATAAATATTTTAAAAAAATATTAAATATATCTTTATAAAGAATATGGATTAAGAGAATGCAAAACTAGCTTAGGATTATTAAGTATAGAATAATATCCCTTTACTATAAGGTCAATAATAAGCAAATAATCAATATTATTCTCCTTATAATAATTAGGTTTAATATGTATAGTAAGAGGTGGCTCAGTAACAATAATTATCAAATTCTTATTAAGGAATTAATCTTTAAGGTGATCAATATTAAGTAAATCAATAACTTTAATAATAAAATCCTCAATTATAATAAATAATATAGCCCTACCAACCAAATACTAATCAATAATAAATAACAGGGATTGTTATCTAAACCCCTTAAATCTATAATGTATATTTCATCAATAATTTATTACTTAAAGCTTATTAGAAATGCCTCTGGATTTAGAACTCCAACATTAATATCATGCCCCTACTGTAATAAAAATGCAGTTACAAATGTTTATTTCAAATCAGGTGATGATACCTTTTGCATGGCTGTGTTATTATGTCTTTGTTTTGGATTATTATGCTTAATACCCTTATTATCTTCAGATTGTAAAGATGCATATCATCAATGCAGTCATTGCGGAAGAACAGTAGGACATACTCCATACCAAGCCTGCTAATGATTTTAAACAATCTATATATTTATTTATATAATGTAATTGCTTATGTTATAATTTAAAAGATTTCTTATTAATTAAATTTTATACTTTTTTAAATAATACCATTAAAATCAATAACATAGGGAATTCTTTAAATATTATTTTTAACCTTGAAAAAAACAAATTTCATATATTCAACCTCACTCAAATCAATTCCAATTTTATTAGAAACCAAATATATTTTTTAATGTAATAAACAGTTTATTAATCCTAATTTGGAAACTATCCTTTTAATATTTGGAAAATAGTTTCAGACTTTATATATAATAAAAGTATATAGTACATTGTTTTAGATATAAGTTTTTCTATAAAAGTTGATATGTTATCAGTAATGTTGATAAATTAAAATTTCCAGCTCAACTCTAATGACCTTATTTTAATTAATAAGAATTTATAAGGTTTGAACATTATTGTTCCAATATTGATTTTGATATTTTTCAGGCTTTTATTCTCAATTTGTTTTTGCATGAAAGAAAGACTAGCAAGATAGAATCCATTTTGAATTCTATTAATTTTGGCAATTAATTGATTATTATTTAATATAAATTATATTGTTATTCATTTTGGTATTTTGAATAAGAATGGGAATAAGATTTAAAAATATTTATAAGTTTAATTGATATAAATTCATTAACAAATCTTGTCGATAAATAATTATATACTTTAATTCAAATACTATGAAGAACAGTTCAGAGATTTGTAATCAAATGACATAATGCTAAAGCAATAGTGAATTTTAAAAAGTTTCTCTTATAAACTTAGCTCAAAGTGCATAAGTGAATTCTCCTTTATAAGTGAATGTGCTTTTAAATTCGGTTCCTATCACTCCAAACAATGGAGACCAGGCTGATTTAATTTTTGAAATAGGTTTACCTAAGGTGTTAACAAGAAGAATGACTAAGTATTGATTAGATAGATAAAAATAGAAATGATTATTTGACAACAGCTGATGGTCATAAAACAAAGCAAGAAGTTTTTTGCAATAATTGTCAAAGAATTAACATGACTAGACTTGAAACTGAATATGGATTGGGGGCAATTTAAATTACCTGCTTACTAATATTTCTATTTTGGCCACTTTGTTGGTTGCCTTGTGTTTTAAGATCATGTAAAGATATAATTCATTATTGTCCATTTTGTAATTAAGTTGTAGGAAGAACTCGTTATACATTCTGTTGATTTAGTAGTGTTAATTACTTTATTTTATATAATATTCATAAAAAAAGAAATTTTCTCAAGATCATCTTAAAATTTAGATTTTGCGATATTAAAACGAAGAAATATTCAATCAATATTTTTGATATTCTCATATCATGTATTTATAAAAATATAATAAAACTAAATTTATAAAATAAACCATAGAAATTGATGTATCCTACAATTCTTTACAAAAACAACTAATTTTGTATTTAAATTCTTTTAAATGGATAGACATCAACATATCACCTTGTAAATAATTAAAATATTTGGAATGATTGAAAAAATCAATGAATAAATCATACATACTTTTCTCATCATTATGATAATCTAAAATAAAAGGGACCTTCGCATTTCATAAAATATTAATCTATTGTTTAATATCCATTATTTTATTAGCATCAAATAAATCAATGGAATTTTATAATTTTTATAATGAAATTAAATTTGAAAAAATACATACTGAATAAATTCAATCTCTAAAATTTATGGAATAAACTCTTTTAAACTTATTAAATAAGGTGAACAATCAGAATAAGATATTCCTCATAAGATGCTAAAACAAAGAAATAGGATAATAATGATAATAATAATAAATAATATATACCTTTAGATTATCCAAGCAAACAATATTTTTTTTAAAAGTTAAAATAATTATAAATCTAACTGTTTTATCCTCATTATGATGCAAACCAATAAAATATATTCCTAATAATTTCATTTTTGATAAATTAGAATTAGTTCAGCAAAGAAATCAAAAATAATTTTATAAAATCAAAATTCTTTAATAGACTTAGACTTTAGTAAGACCTATTAAAAAAATATAATAGATAATATATAATTAATATTAAACTAAAAATAATTAGTTGTCTTACTGGTCAAAGACAAAACTTAATTTTTCGTTATATTGTAAGACGAAAACTGATAGAAATTACATTTTTCTTATGATTATATCACTAACCAGTGGAAAACTAGTTATTACAATAAGGGGGGATTATTTTTTTCTATAGAGATAGCCTCCATATATATGGCCAATTAATAATTAATGCTTATAATTTTCTTATTGATCTTTAATATGAATGTCTCCATGAATGCTCATTAATCTTCATAAAAGTGCAAATGGAGATATATTTCGAATTTAAATGAATGTTAATTTTTTAGATTAAACCAAAAAAACATGGATTGAATATAAATTAGTATAAAATTATTGTCGTTCCTCTTGTTAGTTACTATTTAAAATTACAATATTGTAATATCTTCTTTGTTTTAAGAATTCTTAAAACAATGTTATTCTTGCAACAATCATCAAGTTTGATTTTATTCAAAAGTAGTTCTATAAGTGATATGAAATTATAAAATTTCCTTGTATAGTGTAAGTATCTTGTTATATAAATATATCTTAATTCAATTAATAAAATCATGAGATAAAGATAAACATATTAACCAAATTATCTACAGATTTCTTAATTAGAAAAACCAAAAAGATATGTGCATTCATATGGAAAGGAACTTAAAACCCCTGATTCAATAAAGCCTCTAAGTGCTTTAATGAATTTGAGACTTTTCCTTTATAAAACAAAATAAAAACTAGATTATAAATAAGCAAGTCAATTTACTAGAAATGATCCATTAGTAAAAGAGCAACCATCTTTCTTATATAATAAATTGTAAATAGAATAGGATAATTAAATAAAATTTCAAGCATATTTAGATGGAGATTTACAAGCTGATGAATATTTGACTCTATAAAATTACAAGAGATTATATAAAATAACAAAGAATGATAATGGATCTTTTGATAATACAAATGATGACATTCCATATTATACTTAAAGAGAAAGTGCTTTAAAAAAATTGTAAGAGAGGATCATTCATAGACATAATCTTAATAAGAGAAAAAGAGGATCAGAAATAAGCAGTCAAATTGATACATCAAAATGTGATACTCCTAGTATATAATTAGCTAAATAACTCAAAAAAGTTATTATTAGAAAACACATGAATAAAATAAATGAAGAATTAACAGCGTATAAAATTATTATTATTTAGAGAGAATACTCTAAAGAATTTAAAAATGGTATAAAATGCAAACTTTGCTGTATAATAATTACAGGAAACACTTGAAAAAGATAAATCTTTATAAAGTAGCGTTTAAAAAAAAGTTAATTCAACTAAGCAATTAAAAATAATAACTAGAAGAAATAAAACAGAGATTGGTGAAGATAATTAAGATAATAGAATATAATTGAGTAATGAAATAACTAATTTTGCTAATAATACAATTTATGAATCATAAATTAAAGATAAATCAAAATAATTAAAGTCAAAAAATCTCAGATTCTCTAATGCTAAAATGAATCAAATATTTATACAAAAATCTTAANTAGAGATAGCCTCCATATATATGGCCAATTAATAATTAATGCTTATAATTTTCTTATTGATCTTTAATATGAATGTCTCCATGAATGCTCATTAATCTTCATAAAAGTGCAAATGGAGATATATTTCGAATTTAAATGAATGTTAATTTTTTAGATTAAACCAAAAAAACATGGATTGAATATAAATTAGTATAAAATTATTGTCGTTCCTCTTGTTAGTTACTATTTAAAATTACAATATTGTAATATCTTCTTTGTTTTAAGAATTCTTAAAACAATGTTATTCTTGCAACAATCATCAAGTTTGATTTTATTCAAAAGTAGTTCTATAAGTGATATGAAATTATAAAATTTCCTTGTATAGTGTAAGTATCTTGTTATATAAATATATCTTAATTCAATTAATAAAATCATGAGATAAAGATAAACATATTAACCAAATTATCTACAGATTTCTTAATTAGAAAAACCAAAAAGATATGTGCATTCATATGGAAAGGAACTTAAAACCCCTGATTCAATAAAGCCTCTAAGTGCTTTAATGAATTTGAGACTTTTCCTTTATAAAACAAAATAAAAACTAGATTATAAATAAGCAAGTCAATTTACTAGAAATGATCCATTAGTAAAAGAGCAACCATCTTTCTTATATAATAAATTGTAAATAGAATAGGATAATTAAATAAAATTTCAAGCATATTTAGATGGAGATTTACAAGCTGATGAATATTTGACTCTATAAAATTACAAGAGATTATATAAAATAACAAAGAATGATAATGGATCTTTTGATAATACAAATGATGACATTCCATATTATACTTAAAGAGAAAGTGCTTTAAAAAAATTGTAAGAGAGGATCATTCATAGACATAATCTTAATAAGAGAAAAAGAGGATCAGAAATAAGCAGTCAAATTGATACATCAAAATGTGATACTCCTAGTATATAATTAGCTAAATAACTCAAAAAAGTTATTATTAGAAAACACATGAATAAAATAAATGAAGAATTAACAGCGTATAAAATTATTATTATTTAGAGAGAATACTCTAAAGAATTTAAAAATGGTATAAAATGCAAACTTTGCTGTATAATAATTACAGGAAACACTTGAAAAAGATAAATCTTTATAAAGTAGCGTTTAAAAAAAAGTTAATTCAACTAAGCAATTAAAAATAATAACTAGAAGAAATAAAACAGAGATTGGTGAAGATAATTAAGATAATAGAATATAATTGAGTAATGAAATAACTAATTTTGCTAATAATACAATTTATGAATCATAAATTAAAGATAAATCAAAATAATTAAAGTCAAAAAATCTCAGATTCTCTAATGCTAAAATGAATCAAATATTTATACAAAAATCTTAATAATCTTTTAGAGAATAAAGAAATTGTGTTACTGATAGATCATAATAATCATATAATTAAAAAAATAATTCTAAATAAAAATTACATTATTAAGGTGAGGATAAATTAGAGGAAAGAGATGATTCAGCAGAATCAAGTCTCTGTTCTTTATTTGAAAAGAAGATCAATTATTTATATAATTAAAGCATATTATTAAAGAAGAATATTTCAACTAAAGATAGTCTAGTCAAACGTATTAAACATATGCAAAGTTTTAATTAAATTGTAGGATAGGCTGTGCAAACAAATAATTAAAAATTATATTAAATTTGATTGTATAATTTATTATGCTTCTATTCATATAGTTGAATTAACTTTATTAGATTAAGCAACAAGTTATCCTAAAACTTATTCTAATTCCTATTCATTTAAGTTTCCAATCAATGCCTTCTTTTCAACTCCATATTCTAACAATTCAATTAATAAATACTATATCTGATAAGAATATATGGATCAATCGATTCGCATTCTCTTACAACAAATGGAAATTTTGGATTTGCTTCTTTCCATTACCAATAATTTTTAGAGACTAGATTTCTATAAATTAATTCTCCATTATATTACCTAACACCTTCAGATCTACCACAAGTTTAGCAAAACACAAATCTCAATTCTTTAACAGAATTACCCAATTATTTGTACCAAGACATTATTAATTAAAATATATTTATAATAAAATAGAAAAATTGATTGTTAAAAACAAGAGATTATCTAATTTATAATGAATATTATATCTTAAATATATTTAGTTAATATATTTTATTCTTATTCTAAACATATTTCTTAGATTTTATAAATATCATTTTTTAAAACTATAAAAGAAGGATGTTAAAATATATAGGAATCTCATATTATAATAAGATGATAGAGAGAAATTATCAAATAATAATTTATGAATACATAAATCTATATAATTATTCTTATATTTATGATACTATTTTGAATAATATTCTTGATTTATAATTATTAATTAATATAAAATCTTAGAGTATGAAGTTTATCATTAGTAATAGTACATTTATATAGTATAATTATTTTTTTTGGAGTTATTAAAAGCTAATTAGTTAATTTCGAGTGGTAAGATTGAGTTAAGATAGAATAGGAATTGATAAATTAATTTAAAGGTTTTTGGTTATGAAATAGGAGTAAATGACAATTAGAAAGGTTGTTATTATATTAAGTATTTATGTTCTGATTTGAAGATTTAATTTAAATAAATTAATTATGATACGAGGATATACATCCGTATTGAGAAAATCACTTTGGTATTTACCATCAATGGGATTCTCAAAGAAATTGGGTATTGGAGAAGCATCCAGTGTATTAGAAGATAAAATTAAAAATATTTCCTAATTGGTAAAGGATTATAGTGATAAATTAGAATGACATCAAAGAATATGGTACAGTTATCTCTATTGGTGATGGTATTGCTAGAGTTTTTGGATTGACATAAGTTTAAGCAGGAGAAATGGTTGAATTCAGTTCAGGAGTAAGAGGTATGGCCTTGAATTTGGAAACAGATAATGTGGGTATTGTCGTGTTGGGTAATGACAGGTAATTCATTTTAATTCATTTATTCTAGAGATATCTAAGAAGGAGATATTGTCAAAAGAACAGGAGCTATTGTCGATGTCCCTATTGGAATGGAAATGTTGGGAAGAGTATTTGATGCTCTTGGTAATCCAATTGATGGACATGGTCCAGTCAAAACAAATGCAAGAAGAAGAGTTGAATTAAAAGCACCAGGAATTATTCCAAGAAAGAGTGTCCATGAACCAATGTAAACAGGATTAAAGGCTGTTGATTGTTTGGTTCCAATTGGAAGAGGATAAAGAGAATTGATTATTGGTGATAGATAAACAGGAAAGACTGCTATTGCTATTGATACAAT